CACTTAAATCCGCATCAACTAGAAAAACAACCGCCGATCTCCCCAACAGAAGTCCCGATCTGTCCTGGAGATGCACCCCCAGCGCTCCCGGTGCCTCAGTGCAGAAGACGGCGGATCGATCGCTGGGCTCAGCCACGAGTCCTATAGCATGCCTTCATCCACTACGGCAACCCGATCCCTGGCTGGGGCCCTGCGACACTTCTCAGCTGCAAGCTCTACGCTCTCTTTCTCCCTTGCTCTTTCCTTGCTTCAATAGATGAGATGTAGAAAGGGGGGGACCGAAGGGGGGGAGGGAAAGAAAAACTAGCTCTCTCCATTTGGAGAAAGAGGAAAGGAGGGGACAAGCCAATGGGAGCCGCCCCCGGGGCTGTCAGATGGCTGCGATCTCTGGAATCTGATTGGCTGATGGAGAGCAAAAAAAAATACTCAACAAACATGACTATTATTAGCTGCTTAGCAACAGCTCACCAAAGTAGAGAGACCACCCAGGCAGACAGGGTTTGTGTGTGTGTGAGTGTATGTGTGTGTGTGTGTGTGTCTCCCAGCTTCAGGGGGAGCCTTAAAGAGCTCCATCCCTCTCTCCCATGCAATCCAGCCATTAGCAGCTCTTCTTCTCCCATCTCTTCCCTCTTTTCCTTTATTACTATTATCATGCAATTCAAGACAACAGGGTTAGGAGGGCCTTGTTCATGAGAGCTTACAATCTAAAAGGGAGGGGTGAGGGTCCTTCTTCGGGACAGCTTGTGAGAGTCTGCGTTGGATAAAGACATCCCTTTAAAGAGGCGCCTTGGCCCCAAGCTGAAACAAATACTGGGAGGTCCGGCTTCAATTCCCAGGCTTGCACAAATAATGACAGCGTGCTTGTGGGAGAAGTACTGGGCAGTGAAGAATTCTTCTTTCTTCTTACATTCCTTCAGCAGACAAAAAAAAAAGGGGGCTCCGATGTTGGAGGTTTTTTTTTTACTTGTTTGCTAAGTCAGCTTCAGTCACTGTGAAGGGAATTTATCACAACTGGAGCAGACAAAATCTGGAGCAGCTGTGCACGGCAACCAATCAGCATCCACCTCTCATTTTCAAATCTTAACTGAACAATATGAAGAGAGAAGCTGATCGGTTACTATGGACAACTGCTCTAGATTCTGCTGGTTACTATGGACAACTGCTCCACCTTTCATTTTCACATCTTAACAACAATATGAAGAGAGAAGCTGATCGGTTACTATGGACAACTGCTCCAGCTTCTGTCTGCTCCAGTTTTGATAAATTCCCCCTCACCACACGTGCCTTGTGTGATGGTACTTTTGTCTATGTTGTTCCAGTGTCCGAACAGCATTTCTAGTGGTGGCTCCTATCCCACAGCACACGTTGGGTTAATAAGCCACTTCACGCTCTCTTCCAGAATTCCGGTGGAACACATGATAGAGATTTGTGGCATGGATGTATACTACAGCCGAAATTCCTCGTCTAATAAATCATGGATGTACTTTGGTACTGATTCTTTGGGCGTTTTTTAGGATACGGCTACTACTGATCTCTTAACCCTTACTGCTTCGTACATTCCCTGCAAGGTCTTTGTATCCTGAACCAGGCTAGAGTGTTAGGATCCACATTCCAACTATTTCCCCTAAGAATCTATCAAGTCACACAATTTATTTTTATGACACAAATGACATTAGCGCTGTGCAAAGAATTGATATTACTAGATCCAGTAGTGTCATAGAAAAAGGCGGGCCAAGGGGTAGGCAGGAGAGGTGACCACCTTGGGCGCTTTGGCAGAAGGAGTTGCAAAAAGGGGAAGACTTGTAAACTGTGGGGGGCACTATGACCTTTTCACCTTTGGTACTAAAGGCCCTTATCACAGTCAAATTCCTTGTGCCCCCCAAGCATTACCAAAGCGCAGGGGAGGAAACAGTATACACAGTCTAAAGCAGCATTTCTCAACCTTTTTTTCAGCCACGGCACCATTTCAAAATATGCAAAATCTTGAGTCACCCCAGTCTAAAAGGTAAAAACCATCAATGTAAAAAAACAATGTGTGGTCCTTTCAAAATCCATGACAGTCCCTTATCGCAGTGAATATATGCCCCAACATTAAAAAAAAAAAAGTTGGCAAATACCAACAAACTTACCTGTGTCAGCCCAGCTTGCTCACGTTGCTCACGCATGCGCAGTCCAGAGCACCTGAGGCGTGAGGAGGAGAATGATACAGAAGATGAATGGCTCCATCTTTCACATCAGAGTAGCCCCTTTACATTAGGAGTCCCCTTCACATGAGAGCCACCCACTCACAACAGAGTCCCCCTTTACATCAGGAGCCCCCTCCTTTCACATCAGAGTCACCCCCTCTCATACTAGTAATCCCTCTATCACATCAGAGCCCCCCACTCACATCAGAGTCACCCCCTTCTCATACTAGTAATCCCTCTATCACATCAGAGCCCCCCACTCACATCAGAGTCACCCCTTCTCATACTAGTAATCCCTCTTTCACATCAGAGCCCCCCACTCACATCAGAGTCACCGCCTCTCATACTAGTAATCCCTCTATCACATCAGAGCCCCCCACTCACATCAGAGTCACCCCCTTCTCATACTAGTAATCCCTCTATCACATCGGAGCCCCCCACTCACATCAGAGTCACCCCCTTCTCATACTAGTAATCCCTTTATCACATCAGAGCCCCCCACTCACATCAGAGTCAACCCCTCTCATACTAGTAGTCCCTCTTTCACATCAGAGTCACCCTCTTTCACATCCCAGGTGTGACGCTGTGTGAAAATTTTAAGGAAGCCAAAAAGCACCCCTAGGTGCCACGGCACCCTGGTTAAGAAAAACTGGTTTAAGCGCCCAATATGCACTTGCGGCCAAAGCATGTGTTTGGTCCACATCAAAATGAACATGTAGCACACTGCCATCAAATCCCTAATTGGTTACTGCACTTTACTTCTTGTATTACTGGACAAGCCTGATAGTTGTACAAATGCTTCATGAAGCTACCTTCTCTAGCTGGCACATGCCACTGAAAACAGACATTTCTTCACTTAATTCCCCATTAGAACTGATTTATATAACTAATGCAGCGAAGAAAACTGGAGGTGGCTAAGCATTCCTAAGAGTGGAAAGCTCCCGGGAGCATTGTATGGACATGTGCTTTACAGAGTCTACCAGCCTCTATGGGGACATGGCTGTCAGTGCTCTACACTCATCATAAAATCTGGCTGGGGTGCTACCAAGTATATTCCCTGTTGCCTATAGCAACTATTTAGAATCCTTTTTTTCATTTTCAAACCATGAATTGTAGTATTAAGCTGATTGGTTCTATGAGAAACTATACATGATACTTTTTTTTTTATTTGCAGGGCAAGGGTTAATATTCGCTAAGTCTAAGGGTAGATGAATAAACTGTTATACTTACCTTATTCATTGTTCTGGCAGGCCTCCACCATGTTATGCGAATGGTCCCCCAAACCCTCTTCTCTTCGGAGCTCTGTTCGGTAGAAGCACTCGGACATTGTCACTTACAATGCAGGACCAGCATTCCTGCATTGAACATGAGGAAGGAGAGGACCGGGCCACAACCCAGAGCATTGAAAAGAAAAGGAGAGGTCCAGCTGATGGGGAAGCGAGGAATAAAATAAGTATTACAGCTTATTCCTCTACCCCTAGACTTAACAAGCATTTAGGGCT